ACTTATTATTTGATTATTATGTGTTTAAATCGTGATTTAAATACACCATGAATACAACTATTCGTATCTTAAGCAAGAATTCACATAGATATTATTTTTAATTAATTTGCTTGGAAATAGTGCATCGATTCTTAGAAATTGATATAATTTTATTTACGAATTAAACTGAGTTAGTACGATTGAATGCACCTATAAAATCTATGGATCATAGGTATAAAAGGGATTTTCATCTATGACCTTCCGACTCCATTCATTTTCATTTCGAATCTTGTCTTCCGTCAATCGAGAAGTTCAAACTTCAGAATTTTTGCTGTTCGTAAACGGGAACGACGCCTGAAGGTATTTAGCCCTAATCCTTATTCAATTTTAATTTGATTATGCAGAATATGTTTCTATTTAATGATTGATGTGTTCCGATTACCAAGACTACGTCGCCAAGAATTTCTTTCATTTTATAATTAAAATGTCCTTTAAAAATATTATCCTGCCTGTAAAATTCTAAATTTTTGTTAAAAAAATCATATTTACTTTTCTATACATTGGGTTTTAACGACTTGTCTTTTTTTTTCTACAATATAGGCTTGCTTTGAGATAACATACGTGGATTAAATGGGCAAACTATTTACAGAACGGTGAAAGTTGCTCGATTTTCGAATTTGTTACCAAAATTTTATTTAAAGGATTTCTTTATTTTCTTCTTTCATCCATAGTAATACAACTGCAANAACCCCTTTTTTAATGATTATTTTTAAATGAGCGTTGTCGCTATTTCGAAAAGAACAAAGACTTTGCGCAACAATACTCGATCATAGTCTAGAAACAAAAAGGGGACTGTCCAGAAATTATGTAACGCGAAATTCCTCAAGCTTCGAATCCTCTCTCCCCTTTTTTAATGATTATTTTTAAATGAGCGTTGTCGCTATTTCGAAAAGAACAAAGACTTTGAGCAACAATACTCGATCATAGTCTAGAAACAAAAAGGGGACTGTCCAGAAATTATGTAACGTAATCTAATTAGTGATTGTTTTGCTAAATCATTTCAGGATAAACCAGTTTTGCTTAATAAATCAAACAATTTTTGCCTAGTCCAAACTTGTTTTTGCTAGTCAAAACTAGTTTTGACTAGGCTAAATCGGTTCTATCTACAAAGCGACAAGGTGAACAAGATTGACTTAGTCCTAACTTGTTTGTCCTACAATGTTGCCCAACCAGACCTAAAACGTCGTTATTATTAACATAATTAAACAATTTTAATTCGTGATTTAACGATAACTGTAATGAAAATTAGTGTTCCTTCTAATCTATTATCTACTTGTTTAAAGAAAACTTTAAATATTTATCAAATAGATAAATAAATACTTTCTTACTTTTGGAAAGGAATGTTTTTATCACAATTTTTAATCTATTTAGTGATCATATTTCAGGATAAACCAGTTTTGCCTAATAGATCAAACTATTTTCGCCTAGTCCAAACTGGTTTGTCCTAGTCAAATCCGATTTCAGCATAAACTGGTTTTACCTAGGCTAAATTGGTTCTATCTAAAAAGCGATAGTTTGAGTTAGTCGTAACTCGTTTGTCCTACAATGTTTCCCAATCAGACCTAAAACACTTAAACATAAAAAAATACTTATACAATTTAAAATCGTGAGTTAACAATAACTGTAATAAAAATTAATGTTCTTTTTGATCTATTATCTATTTGCACAAAGAAAACTATAAATATTTAACAAATAGGTAGCCCGAAAAAAATA